CTCACATTGTCTTTCACTTTCCTTACGCTTTCTAGGCTCCTAGGAGTTTTATGTGCAAATGTTCTGCCTATGTAGAAAACTAAATGAAATCCCAGAACTCACAAAACTCACAAAGCCCAGATCCTGAGAAAGAGCAGTGGTCTTCTTAAAGCTTTAAGACAAAGCATTATTGAGGCTGTGGGGGAAAATCAACACATCCCACTGCATTGGAGGTAGGAAACTAAAGACAAGGACAAAATTAGATTGTGTGAGAAAAACATATTTTTCAAGGATATATAGAAAGAGACATTTATCAAGAAAGAAATTTTGTCAGTCAGCAAAAGATCACTGAGTCTCACACAATGTGTTGGCTGTTATCAGTATGCCTCAGAACCGGGCACAGTCCTTGTCACAAAATCACATATACTGATCCCTAATCCCTGTCTTTGGATGATTTACCTTCCTTTTGTCGAGATATCTAAAAAAACAATTTTTGACATTCAGGCATGGCCAGAACACACGCTGGACATGTGTCAAGCTTTGGACACCCCAACATTTCTTCCATTATCTACAGAAGCGGGCCAGATGCTGGTGTGCAGACATAGCTATGGCATCCATGGGAAAAGAGGACATGCTCTACTCTGCGGCCAGCCCAAGGTTGGCTTTCATTATGTTCCAACAAGGTCATCAAATGGTTAGGAGTATGGAAAGAGGCCAAGCACTGGCACTGAAAGGAATAAACATTTGAGAAATCATCCTGAAGGGGCAAGTTGAAAGGACTTGGGCATGCTCGCCTGACCAGCAGCCGGGATGAGGCCTGTCCTAGGTAATGAAGAGGTATCTGTCATGGTGCCAGGGGCCCACAAAACAGGAGATAATGGCTTTGGAGGTGACTGTGAGATTTCTAAAGAGATTTGGGTCTGTTAGCCTTCACAATGTGTGTCCAAAGGAAATTACAGATGGCCTTTTCCTAACCCTTCCCCAAGATTAAGAATAATCAGAGATAATCCAGTTTCAAAGGATAAACTAGCCTTAAGGAGAAGGTGAAGTTTCATTTCAAGGCTTAGGTCACTGTTATTGTGATGCAACTTGTGATGTGATGTGATGTGATGTGATGTGATATGATCATTGCTCTGTGATTCCCTGATTCCACTTGGGGATCTGTCATTTAACAAATGCAAAGTGTGTATATTCATGAGTGAGTGAGTGTGAGCAAGTATGTACGTGTATGTGTAAGTATGTGAGAGCTTGTGTGTCAGAAGGAGCCTACGTGTATAGAAATGGGAGGGGTGATGTGAGTGTGTGCCTATAGTGGGGGGTGTAGGACTCATCTCTTTCCTTCTCTGAAAAACAAATACAAACACTCTTTGGGAACATTTTTCCAAGGAAAGTTGGCACTTCTGTGGAGACACACTCTAGCTGCTCCATTCCTAAGAGAAAACATGGCTTTCCCAAGACCATGAGCATCAGCTTCTGTCTTACCACCTGCTCCAGAAAGAGTACAGATGGCATCATCACTGATGGAATGGAGGTCACATTCCAAGAGACAGGCTTGCTCCAGGCCAGATACAGAGGAACGATGTGAACATCATTTTCTACCATCTATAAAAGTGGTCAAACCCTTTATTCTGAACACATGGCTTTCTACTTTACTACAGAAGAAAAAAAGAAAAAGTTACATGTGCTCCAAGTTCAATATGACTTCTATGCCATTTTACAGAAAACAGCATTTTCCTAGCAGGAACAGAAATTCAGTTTAGGTTCTAAAGATTTACTTTAAGAAAAAGGCCCAGATATGTGGCCACATTGCAATAAAATTCCAAGGAAATATCTTGTCCCATGTCTAGTCTACTTCTTCTGGAGTGAATGAAGAAAGAAAAAAAATTGTTTTCATCTCTCTGAGTTTCAAATAATATTATACTCTAAATGCTTTACAACATCTTTCCTGAGCATTACATTTTCTCTTACATATTTTGAACATCCAGTCAGATAAGATTACACATTTCTACAAATCCTGGGTCTACTGTGGTTATCTGAGGCCCAAAGATTGCAAAACCAAGCAAACATTATCTTGACCTCTTTTAATACACAAATGCTCATGGTGGACAGTCAGTGTTAATAATAATAAGAATTATTATTCTTATTATTAGGTTTCTCTGTGGCTCAGTGAGTCACAGCTGTCTCTAGACTCTTCAGGGATGGAGGGGTGGGGCCATCATTATTGGCCTAGGCTGTGGGAGGGGGACACTTGTGGGCACCTCTGTACTTCTTTGCTGGACCAATGTAAAGCACTTCCATATGCCCCTCTTATAACTTCTTAGAAAGCTCCTACCACAGCACGTAAGGGTAAGTCAAAAACTTGCACTGAGGAAACGGGAGAACGATAAGATATGAATAAACAATCTGAAAGAAAACACAATTCCTCCTCTACAAATGGTAATGTCCCTTAACATGGCTAAAATGGCACAGATATCCTAAAGCCAAGTTCCTCAGCTGATAAGCACTGTTGGAATTATTTTAGGGATTAATGATTGCTTCCGTTTGTTTGAAAGAAATCATATGGTTTTTCCATGATTTCCCAGGAAGAAGCGGATTTATCGCCTATCAAGCATGAATGTGTTTAAATAATTGTTGGGAATCCTGGTATCAGAAAAACTGCTTAAGAGATGATGCGGGTGATTGTCTGATAATGCTAAGCGTTCCATATCCAAGTTGGTTTGTGAATATTCACTCTTACAGTCAGCCAGTCGACATGGATTACCAAACAAAGGGCAGTATCATTGTGGCTGTTACTTAAAGACATATCTCAGTCAAGAGCCAGGGAATTAGGTGAGAGGAGGATCTTCAGTAAGTAGCCACAGACTTTAGTTCAAAGCTAGGTCACAGGGTGCAAAGCAGGGTTCTTCTGAGCCGTGCTGACCTCCTTAGTTCCAGAATATAGGGATAGGCGAACACTACAACAGGTCACAAGCCACAGAGGAGAGTCTCAGAGGCTCACCTTCTAGTTCAGAGCTGTGACAGTCCATCTACTTTATGGGTGCATGTCATGATTTCTGCAGTTTGTAGGGAAACTAACAGTGTGCAAGCAATGTAAAGGGCTTTCTCATGTTGCTATATTTGGAAGAATAAAGGGTATCTCATCAGGTGAGCAAACAGTTGATAATGCAAAGACACAAACATTATGTCTTGTTTTTATTCCAGAAGTTTACCCCAAGAACATCCTTTCATTGAGAGTTAAAGGGGCTTAAGATGAAACAACTATAAAGATAACTAGAAAAAAAAATGGAAAACAAAACAAAGAATAGAAAACCACTTTGTGATACTGAGGGCAATGTAATAGCAAGATACATGTCCTTATAAAATGGATTATGTGAATGCAATCTTCTGACAGTCAGCTAAATTTCTTTCCTTTCTGTATCCAGCTTTTTAAACTTTAAATTTGGCAAATGTAACATTTTTGAAATGGCTTTAAATCAACTGAAGTGGCAGTTTATCTTAGTGAGGTTAATTGTGTTATTTATTAATCCATTATCTTATCGTTTCTACTTAATTTTTTGCCCCAAAAGTGTTCGAGCTGGATACGTCAAGTTATGAAAGCATTTAACATTTTAAATTAAGACACAAGGAATTCTAAATGACACTTGAGATGTCCTTGAGAGAGGTTTCTCATCTCTCCATGTTTATAGATGTCACATATATTCATAAATCAAATCCTGTGCATATTTAAGCCAGACCAAAATACTAAAAAGCACCATGTCCCCCATTAGAAAAAAAAATGCAATTATTCTGCTTAGTTATGTTTTTAAAATAGCTTGACATTTTAAATAATTGATGAATATGTAATTTGCTAATCAGTAATGGACAGTTCCCATGGAGGTACCATCGCTAGTTTTATAATTTACTATTTCAGAAGAATTTTATGAATACAAAGATTAAAGCCGGGAAGCGGAGAGAAATCACTCCAGGATAACATTATCCTATTTAACACCCATAATACTTAACAGTAACAACAATTAAGCTTCACAAATTAAGATGTACTGAATTGTTATTGGGTGAGTTACAGATAGACATTTTATGTGTCATGATTTTCCCCATACTGAATTCCCCATAGACCACCATGTACCCAAATGAACATCAGAGCAACATACTGTTCCTGTAAAGGATTAAATGATATTTTAGTTTACGTCTTTATTTCTTGACTCTTTTCTCCAAGTGATAATAGAAAACTTATTTACCATGCATGAACACTTACATTCTCTTTCTGAGAACATTTCTGATGTTGTTGGGATAAGAGAGGAAAGTCATTTATTTAAAGATCGCCTTATTAGTCTATAGTTTTTGGTAAATATCTAGATTATCTGGTTTGTCAATTTGTCTTTATGGCCTAAGGAAGAAGACTAGCTGCCGTGTTCAATCCAGATGAGTTGGTATATGAATATTTATAAGGACATCGAGATTCACAGTGTCTTACAATCATGCTCCAAGCTAAATAGAAATAAAAGCAGAATGGCCACAAATATTACAGTATAATAGGATAAGAGGTAAAAGGTATGTACAAATTCATTGACAACATCTGTGCAAGTGTTGTAGACAAAACATTTAAAAAGAAATCTACATAAAACAAAGTAGGTAAATTTATCAAAGATTGATAAATTTTCAGAGACAATATAAAAGTACACAAAACATGGAAGAGAGAAAGAATTGTTAAAAAAATAACCGCTAAGCCAATACATACAGTACAAGTTTACTACATTAATATTACAGAATGATGGGAACCAGAGACAAAAAAAACGATTTGGTAACAAACAGCAAAAAAAGTTTCACCAGTCACAGAGAAGAAAGACTGTCCTTTTTGGATGAGAACACAGACTGCCATGACTCAGCCCCTCTACCCATACACACATAGAAAAATAAAAGCAAATGCAAAAGTTGTCTACAGCAACACACGACAGACAGAGGTGGAAGCATTTGGCATGTTGCATCACAGGAAGTCAATCACGATTGGCTAACGATGATGGTACCTGGCTCTGTTGCAGGTCACTGGCTTGCCTGAGAGGAGTGACCGATGGCGGGGGCACACCTGACGTGGAGGCAGAACGGCCTAATTTGCAGCTTACTTTCGGTTCTGTGAACAAGGGGAGAAGGAAGAGCATTAGCTGAGCGACATTGGCAATGACAAACAGCGCTCAGATCCCCATTCTGCTTTGCTGCATCTTCTTTCAAACCCTCAAATACTTCTGACGCTTGCTAGTCTTTGGCGGGGGATGGAATGATGTCATCACCACGGACTCTAAAATAAGCTTTATTTGCAGTCAGCTCCTAGAAATAAAGAATAAATCACAGAAGTCCAGCTCTTTGTTCCTTCGGACATTTTACCTCACTTAGGGTTAGTTTCTACAGAGTGATTACGAGAGCCAGAGCCCCATTCAGGGAAAAAGCAGGTGACAGAGTCACTCTAGGTACTTTCTTTTCAGATTTGGTCTGTAGGTCTCCTAGGTCCTGAAATGTCTTTGTCACCTTCTCCAAAACTTCTTTCCTTCTGTACTCCCTCCTTTCCTCCCTCCTATTTTTTTTTTTCTAATTTTGAAATCAATATCACTGTGCTTGTCCTGAATACATTTATCATGTTTTCAGTGGAGCATTTCTCTGATTCACTATTCACTTTCAATTTTATAACCACTTTCTAAGACTCTTGCCATTTTTCATAATAATAGTATTTTTTTTTCCAAATTATAAAGGCATTTCCCCTACCTCTTCTTCTATTTCAGGAGCCCAAATGGGCCGTCCAGGTCATGGACAGGTTACTTTGGAGGTTAGAATTTGGGGATGGAAAGAGTTCCCTTCATCCAACAAGGTACAGAGAGTATGTTAATTTTCATATATACTTGAGGATATTTGATAAGAGAAGAAAAAAGTCATACAATGAAAATGGACACCATGCTTTTGTTTAATATTAACTGTTACTTTTTGAGTGTTGGGTATGTTCCATCTTCTAACTGGACTACATTTAAATTGTTTCTAATTCTAAGGTTACTCTATAGAGTTATAGCATTAGCTATAAAGATTGCCTCTGTGTGTGTGTGTGTGAAACTTCCCGGCTAACCCCCATAATCTCTCTGCTCAAAACTAACTTGGACATGGGGCATCTGGGTAGCTCAGTTGGTTAAGCATCTGAGTTCAGCTCAAGATATGATCTCAGGGTCCTGGGACTGAGCCCTGTGTAGGTTACGTGCTCAGTGGGGCAATCTGCTTGTCCCTCTGCCCCTCCCCCAACTCGTGTTCTCTCGCGCTCTCTCTCAGATAAAAAAAATAAACAAAATCTTAAAAAAGACTAACTTGAACACATGGACTGAGTTTCCTAGATTACTTTAAAGCCCTCCACCTTGTTCAAAATTTTCCCTTTACCCCATATTTCATATGATAAACACTTGGAACACACCCAACTAATTTTCAAAGGCCTCCTGTGATGTAGCTTCGTCTGATCAGATCCACTCTCTTTCCACTGTTCTGCTGTTCAAAACACATGCAACTGTCTCCTCTCTCAGTTTCTGCGTTCAGTCCTGCCTCTGTCCGTCACTTCACGGTGTGCCCTTGTGAGGACTTTCATCAGACTAAGTCTTACCGGTTTCCGATGACCAACTTCAGCGCGTCCTTCCTATTGTCAAGCGTCCCAGTTCTCTTCCAAGACCACCTGACCACTTACACCGTGTTTGCCGTGCTCACTGCAGCTTTGAGCACTTACGTTGGTGGGGACCACATAATACGTGTTCAATTAATATGTACTTTTCTTTCACTGAAAACACTCAATTTAACCTAGAAAAGGTCAAGGCCAACTCCTAAAATAAGTGAAGGCAATGAAGATAATGTGGAATATGTTGTAAGGTCTGGGTTCAAAGCCTAGCTCTCCGACTTGCAAAGGCAGTGATTCTCATTCAAAGGCCTATGACCTTCTAGGATCCATTTCAGAGGAGGCATGACGTTTGGAAACTCTCCCTTCCTTTGTTTTATGCAGATGATTCTAGTATCTACGCACCTACTTTATTTATTTATTTATTTTGTAGGCTCCACACCAGTATGGGACTTGAACTCGTGACCCTGACATCAAGAGTCACAAGCTCCACTGACTGAGCCAGCCAGGCATCCCCACTCACCCACTGTTGAAAGGTGTTTAAATATAACAGTATTATATAGTGACATAAACTATCACTGTAATTTAGAAATTAAGCTCATTTCCCAGGAAGCATACCTTAGCATATCACCTTTTGTTATATAAAGCAACAGGTAAAGCATCCATCAGAATCCTGGTTGACATGTTTTTATAATGAGGCCAATGTTTCTATATATATCCCCTTACTGTGGTAGCACGTTTAGTCACTTGGAGTCAGAAAATTCAGTATCTTTCCCTAAGAAAGGATGGCAAATAATATTTCTTTACTTAAGGTATTTTTCAAGTTTATGTTAAGGAGATTATCTGATGAGTGAAGGCCTTTTACATTATCCAGTGTACCTAGGGATTAATTTCTCCTGCTAGGTTTCCAGTCAGATTTTGACTTAACCAGCCTCTTTCGAACATAGACACTGATATCTCTAATGAACAGACTGAGATGTACCAAAATCCATGCAAACTCCTCCATTTCATTATGACCTGGAAAGGCCTTTCCTTACTCCCATTGGACAGCAATCCAGAGCATGTACCAGCTCATCAAGCCCTCTTGGGTATTCCAGTATGAGCCATTAAATCCCCATTATACACAGAAGATTGCTCTACTAGCCAACTACCCTGTGGGCTAACTCTAATGTTGAGGTTACATTGGAGTCAATTATTAGATCCCAACATGGCTCCTATGGGTTATGATTCTACCTACAGCAGTAGACTAACACTACGACTGTAAGTTCATTAGGTACACGTGCTTACACAGGCAAACAGAAACATACACACATACACACTGCATAACACTGCTGCTTAATGGTGTCATGTTTTTTAAAACAATTTTTAAATTTAATTTTTAAAATTCTGAGGGTTGGGTTTATCTTTATCTCACTCATTCTGCATCTTCTATCAGTTTTTCATGGTTCTTAAACACAGTTCACATTTATTATCGTATTTATGTAATCAAGTTGGTGAAATAAATCTTTATGATGTTGATTCCACCAAAGTTCCTTTGACTAAAAGAATTGTCTAAAGAAGTCCCAAAAATCCTAGAAAAGATTCTGATTATAGCCAAGCCTCACGGAGGTTCTTCCGGGCTGTGACATAGACGTGAAATCGTCCGGCTCACTTATCCTTGGAAATACACTATGCTCTGAGCCTTAAACAAGGAAGCCTAGGAGCCATGAAACTAAAAACAAGTTTTCTTCCTGAATTTTGCTAATATAAAAAAAAAAAATTGCCAAGGCTTTTTTTTCAAAAACAATGGACATGCACCTAAAAAGAGATCTAAGGTAGAACTTTCTTCCCCCAAGAAAAACTCCATTCCATTAAGAGACTGATGATGCACTAAAAGGCACCTATTATCCTACATTCAAGGAAAACTTCTTGCTTTGTAAACTCTATCATCATCCTAGAAGTAACACTTGATATTGTATATGAAATTTCCCTGATGATCAAGTGTAGAGAGAGTAAGAAGGAATAAGAAAAAGGTAGTGGATTAAGAAAGAGAATCAAAGGGGGAAAGGAAGAACAAAAAAAGAAACGGGAGGCAGGAAGGGAAAGAGGGTGGAAAGAGAGAAAGAGAAAAAGAAAAAGAAAGAATAAGAAAGAAAAGAAAAAACTAATTTGAACTTTTTGGCATAAGATATTGATGAGGGAACAGAAGGCTGGTGGAAGACAAAGCAAAAGCTGATACCCTGCAACCTTCCCCCACCCCCACTCCTGGGTGGGACATATGTGACATTCTCTAGGAATCTTCCAATAATCTAATGTTAATACCTTGCTAAGAAGGGAAAAACAACCTTGATAATGGCAAGGCCTTGGGTATCAGGTATTTGTAGGTCCTTTTTAGCATATGAAAATTCTATTGAAACCTCCCTTTTTCCTTACCTCCCCCAACTCCATAGTGCATAACCTGCCACTCCTCACAACCCTGGGGCATGAGCTTTTTCTGCCCATGGGTCCTGTCCCCGTGCTTTAATAAACCACCATTTTGCACCAAAGATGTCTCAAGAGTTCTTTCTTGGTTTGGCTCCGGCCTCCACCTCACTGAACCTCACCTATATTCTAAAACCTCATCAGTATTATCATGGGATGTTTCCAGAGTAATAAATCATGATCATCTTAAAGTTTTTATTAAATAAGTACCCAGTGGATTGTGTGACTTAATACTTCTTTCTTTTTATTCTTAGTGGGCACAACTTATCACTATTTTGTTTTGTTTTAAAGATCGTCATTTCTCAATCATTTCTCATCTTCCCTTTAAGATGAATTGGATTTCTCTTCAAAATCATGTCCTTGGTACTGTTACAGGATAATCTCCCAGGCATCCCTGCTATTAGAAGTATCAGAGTTCTCTTTGCTTTCGGAAAGCAGACAAATGACTCTTCTCCTTCTCTGCATCTACACAGAAACAGGAGATTAGTGCATTTCAACCAAAGAAAACACTTTCATCTAGCATCAAAGAAATAAAATCAGTCAAATTCAGAGACATATCTTTCCTCTGTCTTATTTTTTTTCTAATACACAGTATCTTTCTGTAGTAGCAGAGACATATCATGATTTCCCCAAGTCAGTCATATTGCTAAAAGTTTCTAATCAATAACTTAAGGCTAAATGAGAGTCAAGGCTTTTTAAAAATATACCAAAGTGTGCTTATTACAAACTCTACTTTCATTTCTAGGGAAGGCATTTTCTTGGAAATAACATATGTTATTTGAGATAAACTGGTGTCTAAGTAATAAAAGACAGTTGTCCCAGGGCTATGTTAAAAGCTTCATGGCTCCCACTTTGTTTTAAAGTTTCTATTGTACATCATAGCAAACATGTAAGGTGCCCTCGAACCCCACATTAAATGTAATTTGTCCTGTATATAATTCAAATGCTTTTTTACAGTTTTGCTTCAGAAATTATTGGACTATGAATAATCCAATTGATTCATGAATGGTTATGATTTCCAGAGAGTAATCAAGCAC